CCACCCCTCCCCCTCCCACCGACCAGGAGAGGGCGGAGCTGGCCACAGGACGGAGGCACCTGGAGGCCCGCCAGGCGCTCTACGCCGAGCTCCAGACGCAGCTCGATAACTGCCCCGAGTCAGTGCGGGAACAGTTACAGGAGCAGCTGAGAAGGGTCAGTTTCACCAGCCCCCCTTCCTCGGCCTGAGGGCCACCTGCCCAGAAGAGAGGAGAGCGGTGGGACAGGACCACCTGGGCCCTGCAGTACCTGCTGGACACCAGGGTCGGTGCTGTGGTTTGGAGGGGACAGGGAAGGATTGGGGAGGGATCTATTTTCTCCTTTCTGTTGCTCCAGGCAGTGATGCCCATGAAAGGGGCAAAGCCAAGCAGAGGAAAGGGGGTTGGGTGGGGGCAGGCCCCTTCCCCACTTTCCCTGGGTCCAGCCTCCAGAACTCACACCTCTGTGGCCTGGCCTTCCAAGCCCAGAGTGGTGTTTCCAGCACCACCCAACCCCTCTTTGTCACTGTCGTTGAAGGAGGCAGAGGATCTGGAAACGGAGACAAAGCTCTTTGAGGACTTGGAGTTCCAGCAGCTGGAGCGGGAGAGCCGCCTGGAGGAGGAGCGTGAGCTGGCGGGACAGGGGCTGCTCCGCAGCAAGGCTGAGTTGCTCCGCAGCGTCGCTAAGAGGAAGGTGTGCCCCACCCCATCCCCTGCTGTCTGGTACACAGTGCTGGCTGAGGTTGGAGGCCAGTGACCTGGGTTTGAATCCTCATGAAAAGTTAACTTCACCTTTCTGAGCCTCAGTTTCCTCATTGTAAAATGAGAACAATACCAGGCAGTTGTGAGAATTAAACAAGGCGATGGATGTGAAGCCAGCATAGTAAACACTCAGCAAACAATAGCTGTTGTTATGAAACCCTGACTCCCCTTATCTTCCAGTGGAAAGCGGGTTGGGCTCACATTTGGAGGTGGGCAGGGACATGAAAGATAGAGATGGAGGAGGAGGAGGCTGAAGAGGAGGCTTGCTCCCACCCTTGTCGAGCTGTGATGAAAGTGCTGGGACACACACAGAGACCTGAGATCTGGATATTAGAGCCAGCCCGGGATCCTAGAAAGGACATCTCCTGGGTTCCAGCCTTGACTCAGCACTTGCTCAGCTGAGCCATAAAACAAGGGGATTGGGTCTTGTATCTTGGCTAGTCCTGGAGCTCCAGATGCAGTGGTTCTCCAGATCTCAGCCGGAGCAGGAGAGGGTGATGGGCAGGGATGTGTGTGTGTGTGTGTGTGTGTGTGTGTGTGGTCAAGTTGGGAGGAGGCTGTCTTAAACAAGGGTTAGGAAGATGTTGGGGAGGAGAATGGGAGGATGGCTCAGGTGGCTTACATGCCCGTGGCTGAGACTTGTGGGTTCGTGCACATACGTGCGTGCTTGTGCACGAGTGAGTGAGTAAGTGGATGAGAGGTGAGAGCAGTGAGATTGGGAGGGGTGTCAAAAAGTGCTGAATGGAGTGCTTGATGGCCAGCCTGGGCCGGTGGTAAGTGGGACGCCGCTGGACCTCCCCTGAGTTCAGATTCCTTGCCTCTCCCTGACAAATGCATCAACTTCCAGATGTGAGGCAGATGAAAGGAAGAAATGTAGCATTTCCAAAGCACATGGGTATGTGCCAGGAGCTTCCTTGGGTTATCTCAAGCTGACCTTAGGACGGTCTCCTAAAGCCAGCACTCTTATCCTCATTTATATACAAAGAAACCAGGGCTCAGAGAAACCACAGATTTTCCCAAAACCTCCCAGCTTATAATCTGCAGAGCCAGAATTGGAATCCAGGCTTGCCTGGCCTGAAAGCCCCTGTTTCTTCTGCACTCTACTGCCCTGGGGTTGGGAGCTGGCACTACTTTGGCTTCTGCCTCTTTCTGTCTGGAGAGAATGCATCAGGGAGCCTTAGCTCAGCCAACACCATCCGTTCGATGTCCTGGTGGGTATAAGGTGCAGGCGGTTTGGGAGAGGTTGGTAGTATTGCACTGCTGTTCCCTCCTCCCTATACCCACCCTGGCCCCTAGGAAACTAGAGCTCAGCCACTGGGACCCAGGGGTAATATTCCTCCCCATGCTCCTCATGAGCCTTGCTCAACTTCTATCTCCTGGCACCCAGTGTCCCACCCACCCCAGTCTCTGTCTGCCCTGGTGCCCTGTGGAGTCCAACAGATCTGGTTCTAATCCTAGCTCTACCACTTAATAGCTAAGACGCCTTAACTCCTAATATGTCAGTGTTCTTATCAGTAAAATGGGCATAAAGGCACCTAGGGTTAAAGGAGATAACAAATGCAAAGGATTTAGCAGAGTTCTGGGGTCCTAGTGGATTCTCAATAAACTATAAATGGCAGATCTTGCTGTGAGGATTACCGCCTGGTCTGCTTCAGTCTTTTTTGGGGGGCTAACCCCAGATTTAGTACAGCTTCCTTCTTCCCTCCCTCCTCTCCCAAGTCTTGTTCTTAAAGTTGGTGGTTTAAGGCCACCTCTTTCAGGAAGCCCTCCCAGGATTAACCCAGTCCATTTTCCTCAGCCCCCATCCTTTTAATTACCTTTTAGCACGTGATTGCTGAGCCAGGCACAGTGCTAAGCCCTATTGGGGATACAGAGACAGAAAAGACACTGGACCTGCTCTTGGGCTGACAGCCTGGGTCAGGTGGTGGTGATGGAGACATATATTCACAAGTAACAGTAACACAAGGCAAATGGTGATACAGAATAATTTGAGCACAGCAGGAGGAGCAAAACAATTGAGTGGTGATTAAGGAAGATGTTAGAGAGAAGATAGCATTTGGTTTGGTTTTGGAGGGTAAGTAAGCTCTTGATGGGTGGAGAAGACAGGGACAGCTCTCCTGGGCTAAGGGAACGGTTTAAGAAAGGCCTGAGAGTGTACAAGTACAGCTGTGTGTACAACAGGAGACGGAGGGCTCAGGCTGGGAGGGGAGCTGAAAAGTGTAGACCCAGTTCCAGGACCACCTGACTGCCGGCTTAGGAGCTTGTGTTTTATCCTGTGAATAATGAGGAGTCACTGAAAGATTTTCAGGAGATAAGTGATCTAACCTTACTTGTGGATTTTTAAAAAATTATTTAAGTAACATATATTCTTAGAAAGATTAGAAAATTCAGGTAGCCAAGCAAACAAAAACAAACCTCGAAGGCCATTTTAGGAAGTTTTTGTGGCAGTGTGGAGTGGGTCAGAAAGCCGAGAGAGTTGGAAGCGGGAAGCTGGTGAAAAAGTCCAGGCTGGGAAAGCAGAGGGCCTGGATTTGGGTGTGGCGGTAGAGGTGGGATGGGGGGGAATAGGGCAGGTGGAGAACTGATCAGTATCTCCAGGATTCTGGACGTGTTGATTGTGAGGTTGGAAGGAAGGGAGATTTGGTAACTTGGGTTCTGGCTGGTGTGCCTGCTAGCACGGGGGTCACTGGTCGAGGGAGGGGTGTGGAAAGGAGCTGACCATAGCAGCCTGGGTTTTCTGGGATGAGTTGAGGCCACGCAGAATTGCTGGTTGATTTCCCTTCATCCAAACCCAGGGTCTCTGGGCAGGAGAGACAGCCAAGCCTCACTTTGAGTTCAGCCATCTCCCCAGGGCCTGTCTGACCATTCCCATCTCCTTCAGGAGCGCCTGGCAGTCTTGGACAGTCAGGCTGGGCAGATCCGGGCTCAGGCTGTGCAAGAGTCTGAGCGCCTGGCCCGGGACAAGAACGCTTCTCTGCAGCTGCTGCAGAAGGTAGCCCAGCCCCGTGGTCGTGGGGTTGGGGGTGTTTGCTGGGTTGGGGGGGTGGGGGCTGGGAAGGAAGTGCAGGATTCCTCTTTTACTTGGTATCCCTGCTGTCACTCTCACTCCTTTCTGATTCTCTGCCACTTGGGGCTTACAGGAGAAGGAGAAACTGACTATGTTGGAAAGAAGATACCACTCACTCACTGGGGGCAGGCCTTTTCCGAAGACCACATCGACCCTCAAAGAGGTAACATGGTTGGGTTAGCCCCAGCTTCAGGCCCAAGGGGTCTCCTGGGAGGCTCTGGAGCAACATGTGGCACTTTCACCTCAATGGCTGAGGTTAAGTATGGGGACATTTTCCTAAATTGGAGAGATGTGAAATCTGGAATTTGACCTGCTATGGCAACCAGCTGCTTTTTATCAATAGTTACTTTTCTGGGTCCCAGGATCCCACTGAACTTACCATTTTGGGTGACTGAGTACATTGTGAGGCGGATGGGCTGTTCAGAGGTTTGGAAACGGCCAGGGCTCAGGGGAGCATAGAGATCTAGGGGTCCTGACCTTGGAGCTCCCTGGACTTCAGTGTAGAACTGGGCTCTTGGCTCAGAAGTGGGCATTGAGGCCCCTTAACGCATTCTTTCCTGAGTCTTTGCATGTCTGGTGTGTGAAGTCCAATGAGGACACCCCTAGTTTTCTGAGCTCTTTTCCTCCTTCCCTGCCTCACTGCACAAGCATTTTAGGCCTGGGATTGGGTGGCTGGGCTGAGTAGAGGGCTGAGGCCCCTCACCACATACCCTCTCTATAGGCTGAACTGCTCATCTCTGAGTCCTCGGAGATGGGGCTGGGGACTGCAGCTCTGGGCCTATTCCCAGGGTCTTCTCAGGCTACCGCCTCCTCTGTCCCCTTAACCCCACCTGCTTCCACTCAGCTTTGCCCTAAAGCACAAGAGGTAATCATAGCTAACTGCCTGCTCTCCTGTGCCCACACTGCCTGTCTACCTGCTTGCTAAGCTCCTGCCTACAGTTTCTCCCAAGGGCCCAGCTGAAGGGTGTGTGACAAATAATCCCTTGGCCACAGTTTGCGAGTTTGAGTGAGAGTGCTAGTGTGCTGTAAGCTTCTGGGCAGCCCATAAAAAAATTAGAGCATCAATTTGCATATTAATTTGCATGTATTCTGCATGCCGTTTGTCAGTTCTCACAAACACTGGCCACTCCAGCTCATTTTCCTTTTCTGTGACCCCTGGAGGACAGTTGGCCTCTGGAGCTAGGTCAGGATGGTCGGTCTTCCCTTGGATGGGGCAGGCTTAGGATCCTGTGCTTTGATTCAGCATGCATTTTGGATGCCTAACATGTCCTCACTACCTAGATAAGCTCAGGGTTCTAAGGATATGCTCAGGGGATATGACAGTCCCTGTCTTCCCAACCCAAATCTATCAATAGCATCTTTCCAAGTCCTAACCCTTGAGTAGTGGGCCTGTTTTTCTGCCTGGGATTTTAGCTGCTCCCTGCCAAGGTCTCTTTTTCAGAGGCCACCGTGCTCAGGCCCTAGTGGTGTCTCCACCTCCACCCCTTCCAGCCTCTGCCCCAGCAGATTGGGTACAAGGGGACTCTTGGAAATGGTGTGACTGCATGTGTGTGCCCCACTGGGGATGCCCAAGGTATTGGAGACTGAAGAGTTCTCTGGGCACTCGGTCCTGGTCCTTGGTGGGTTCTTGGAAGGCCCTCCCTAGGCTTCGCATGCCCCCAGCCCAGGACAAACCCAGGAATTGGCCCTCAGGGCCTGCCTGGGGAAGGGCCTGGATGCCAAGGCAGCCTTAAAAGTGGAGGTCAAGAAAAGCATTCAGACAACCTGTTCTGCCCGCCCTTTTTCGGCCCCCCCTCACTCCCACAGCCATCTACGGCCGCAGTGGGCAGCCAGGCTCCACACCCCAGCTCTGGATTTTGTATGGAATGGAGCGATGGCTCTAGGGCATGGACTGTGGGTGTTGGGCACCTGGTTGAAAACTGTTAACCTCTTCTCTGCCTACCCCTCCTCTTCCCACTGGGCACCCTAGGAGTATATGAGCCTGGCAGAGGTTCTTCAGCTGTGCTTCCCGCTTGGACCCCTGTGCTTCTGCCAACTCCCCCAGCGTGTTCTCCCAGCCCCTGACTGACAGTGAGGTACCAGCCACTGAGTGAGCCCACCTATGCCCAAGGGCCTCTTTGTGGATGCCCTAGATTGCCCCTCAGGCCTGGGTTGGGGGACAGCAGGGTCTGTCTTCAAGAGTGAGGGGGATGGGAGTGGTTCCCTCTCTTCCCCAAGGCCTCGGGAGCTTTCTTCAGCTCCTGACAGCTCATACAGGGGCAGGCCTTCTGCTCTAGCATGAGGGCATTGTGCTGAGAGGACTCTGGCTTTCCTTGGCTCTGCAAGCCTCCTCTGCTTTGTGTTTCCTACTCTTGTCCTTCTTTTGCCCATGGGCAGGACCATTTCTTGGGTTTCAGTTCCATTAACCTCTTGTATTCCCTCCTGCGTCCCGGCCTTCCCCCAAGTACCCGACGCATGAGCAGCTAAAGGCGATGTGGGGCACCTCGCCCATGCCCACAGCCCCTGCGCCAGGCCTGCCTCTCTGGGCCTCTGCTTCCCGGGACCTGGTTCCCATCACCTGCCTTCCTCCTGTGCTGTCCTCTTCCTCCTCCTTCACTTCTATCACGCCTGCACCCAAGGTTGGTTGTCTGTGTTCCTGCCACCCCCAGCCCTCTACTGGTGTGGCTGTGTGTGTGTATGTATGTTTTTCCTGTGACTATATATATATTCAATTATAGTTGACATACAATATTATACAACATCAGCTTCAGGTGTACAGTGCAGTGATCAAGCCTCTACCCCATCCATGAAGTGGTCTCCCTAACAAGACATGTGACCACCTGACACCCTACAAAATATTTACAACATTATTAATTATATTCCCTGAGCTGTCTGTCATATCCCTGTGGCAATATTGTAGTTACCTATTTATGCTGTCTAATCCCTTCCCCTTCTCCCTCATCCCCACCCCCCTCCCAACTAGCAACCATCAGTTTTTCCTCTATATCTCTGAGAATATTTCTGTTTACTTTGCTCGTTCATTCAGTTCTTTAGATTCCACATATAAGTGAGATCATATGGTATTTGCCTTTCTCCGACTGACTTATTTCACTTAACATAATGTTCTCTAGGTCCATCCATATCGTTGCATCTGTGTGTGTTTTTTTGCCCCTGCTTGGCTGACTGGCATCATGGTTGGTGTAGCACATGTCTGTGTTCTGGGAGTTGTGCCCTGACTGTTTCTCTTTGCCCCTTAGCACATTTACAGCAACTATTTTCTCACTATATTTCTCTTCCTTCTTTTTATGCTCTCCTTTCTTCCTTATTTCCTTCCCTTCTTCCCTCACCTTCCTATTTCCCTAATAATGGCCTTTCTTCACCCTTCCTTCATCCTCCCCTTTCTTCTCCCTTTTCTTCCTTCTCCCTCCCCTTTCCTTTCTCCTCATTTCCTGACCTTCCCTCTCCATCCTTCCTCTTCTATACCCTGTCCCCCTCCCCATGCTGTCCTCCAGATGGAGAAGCTGCTGCTCCCTGCTGTAGACTTAGAGCAGTGGTACCAGGAGCTGATGGCCGGGCTGGGGACGGGCCCCGCTGCAGCCTCCCCTCGCTCCTCCCCCCCGCCTCTGCCTGCCAAAGCTTCCCGTCAGCTGCAGGTAACCCCTTCCTTCACTGCCCATCACTCCCCTGATCCTGCGCCTCTCTTTTCTGGGTACCTTCTGCCAATCCATCATCTATATGATGGGCGGGGGGGGGGTGCGTGGTCAGTCCAGCCAGGGCAATATGGGGCCTCTGAGAGAGCAGTGAGGGTCTCCTCAGAGGCAATTATCTTGGTATTTGTGGCAGCTGGAGGGCCAGCTTCATGAGTCCAAAGGTGACACGATTGACTGTCCAGTGGAAGGGGGTTTGGGAGCAGTGGTCAGGTTGGGATCTGTGTGGTGTCTCATGCTGGGCCAGACTGTGGCTCTGCTCTGTGCTTGGCAGCCCTCAACCACAGAGCTTCTCACTCATTATGGGAGCCTGACACACTCTTGAACCTGTTGAAGCTGGAACTAGTGTGTCCAGTTCTGCCAGCATTTTGCTCTCCTGGTCTCCCCAGGGATGACACTTGGAGGCAGGACAGACAGGAGCAAAGACTTTGAAGTGACAGTCCTGAGGACATGCCCAAGTCTCCTCAGAGTTGCCATGGAGGGTTTGGGCCAACTTGAGCCTGCAACAAGCTGCTGACCGTGAGGGTGGGGAAGAGTATTTGGATAGTCTTCTCCCCCAAGTTTCACTCCATTAACCTGTTGTAGTGCCTGAGACCTCACCATTCAAGATTCATTCCTTGAGTGAAGGAATTGCACCTCTAAGACTGTGATCTCAGCTAAAATTCCATGTTCCCTTTGGGAGGAATTTGGTAACATGTGTGGTACCTCTCCTTTGTACCTAGCTGGTTAGAGATTTTTACGTGTTTTGATTCATTTAATTGTCACCACGGGCCTTTGAGGTAGATATTGTTAGCATTTTACATATCAGACACTGGGGCTCAGAGAAGATAAGTAATCTCCCCAAGGCCACACAAGTAGAAAGTAGCAGAGCCTATGCCGAGAGTCAGGGTTCTTGGCTCCAAACACCATATTCACCCAACATTAGTGCTGTGAGCGAGGTTGGCAGTTTTTTAGTCTAGCCCTACCCACTTCTTTTGCAGATAAGGAATCCAAGGCCCCAAGTGGGGAGGTGCATAGCCCAGGCTCACACAGCATGTTAGTGGCAGAGCTTGGACCAGAGGGCACCCCGGCCTCCAGTTGGTCTTCTGTACAACTCTGCCAGGCTGATGTTAACTCCTTGCATGGGTCCGTTTACAAACTTCTTTCAAAATGCAGGGTTGAACCAGGGATTAGCCCAAGGAGCAGCAGCCTGGAAAGGAGGCATGGCAGCTACTAATAACATCTCATTGGCCTGGCCCAGGAGGCTCAGTGGTGTTGCCAGCTAGAGACAGAGGCCTGGAGCCAGAGCAATACCTGGGACCACAGCCAGCCTAGGTGACATGGGGGTGGTGGCAGAGAGAGAGCTGGAGCTCACCAGGCAGTATCTTTTCCCTCCAGGTTTACCGCTCCAAGATGGATGGTGAGGCCACCAGTCCCCTGCCCCGCACCCGCAGTGGCCCCCTCCCCTCTTCCTCTGGTTCTTCTTCCTCCTCTTCCCAGCTCAGCGTGGCTACCTTGGGCCGTAGCCCCTCCCCGAAGGTCTGAGGATAGTGGGTGGGCTGCTTGTGTAGCAGGGTGGTGGTGGTAGGGTGATACAGGCTGCTGGGGAGACTGCTTTGGCTACTGGGGAGAGGCCAAAGCCACCCCTGAATGTCTTGGGGGGGGGGTGGTCTTCTGAGCCTCAGGTCCCAGTGCTCTATCTCCCTCCACAGAGTGCTCTACTCGCCCAGAACGGCACAGGCAGCCTTCCTCGCAACCTGGCAGCCACACTGCAGGACATTGAGACCAAGCGCCAACTGGCCCTGCAGCAGAAGGGTGAGTGGCTGCAATGTCAGTCCACCTGCTCTCCTGGGAGCCCTGCTGTACACCCCCCACCATACCTCATCCACGCCCACACCTTTCACAGATGTTTTTCTTTAATTGAGATTTAGGCAAGAGCAGAAAGGACAGATTAGATGCCTAAAGATGAGCTTCCCAGATGTTTATCAAAGGGCAGGTTATGGGGGGCTGTGAGATCTTTCCTAAACAGCCCAACAAATAAGGAAATGCTGTATGACCTGAGTGGGGATAGGTATTGCCCTGTCTATAGAGGCAAAGGGGGTGGACTTGACCGCCAGAAATGGTTCCTTAAGATATTGGCTCTGAGGACCCAGGAGTCCTTGTTCCTTGTGTGCATTTTGGTTGTTTGAAAGCCCATGTCTGTGCCTCTCTCTCCTCTCGTCCCCTCTGTGTCTCTCTACCCTACCCTCTTCCTGGGGTCCCCCACACCAGTCGAGTTGCTTCCTGCCGAGCCCCTCCCAACCGACGACCCAGCAGGTAGAGCGTTGGTCATTGAGGACATTGCTTTGGCCAGGCAGCCTCTGCCTGGGCATTTGCATGATGTATTCTGCCCAGGCTCCCACTGCCTGCAGGCAAGCAGGCTCCCAGGCTGAGCTGGGTTGGGGTGTCTGGCTGCCTTACCACTCGAAATGCGCTCTCTCCTGCTTCAGCTGTGCTCTGCCTTGCCTCCCCTTCCTTTTCTCCTGCCGCTGCTGCTGTTGCTCTGCATCGCCACTGCTGCATCTGCATTTATACCCTGGGTGCTCACAGGACTCCCACCATCTCTTCCTTCTCCCTTTCCCAGCAGGCAGGGTGGGTGCATGTGTCCCCACCTATTCAGGCCTTGGTTGTGAGCTGGAGCCACCTAGCCATCATGCTGCCAGGGCACCACTTGGGCAGGATCAGTGTCCTGTGTGGGCTCAGGATGCAGAAAGAGCGCTGAAGCCAGACTGCGTGGCTATGGCTAGAGGTGCAGGCAATGGAAGCATTGGCAGGGCAGCTGGACCTGGAGCTGTGGGGGCTTCAGGGAAGCTGGTGGGGGCTGAGTGGGTGCCCTGTGTTAACCTCTCTCTGCTCACCTCTTCCCTCTCTCTGTGATGGTGCCAGTGGTGTCCTCCCACTCTGACTCCCACCTGTCCCTCCTTTAGGGCAGCAGGTGATTGAGGAGCAGCGGCGGCGACTGGCTGAGCTGAAGCAGAAAGCAGCAGCCGAGGCTCAGTGCCAGTGGGATGCTCTGCATGGGGCGGCCCCCTTCCCAGCAGGCCCCTTGGGCTTCCCCCCACTCATGCACCACTCCATCCTGCATCACCTGTCAGCTGGGCGGGAGCGTGGGGAGGAGGGTGAGCACGCCTACGACACACTGAGCCTGGAGAGCTCTGACAGCATGGAGACCAGCATCTCCACGGGAGGCAACTCTGCCTGCTCTCCCGACAACATGTCCAGGTACCTGACCCCCACCCCATTCCACTTGATGGGGCTAACTCTGCCCTCCCCTACACCCGACCCACCGCCTCTGCGAGACGCCTCCTCAGCTCCTCGATACACCCAGTATTCCCCTTCCCGCCCCAGTGCAAGCGGCCTGGATATAGGGAAGATCGAGGAGATGGAAAAGATGCTGAAAGAAGCTCATGCGGAGAAGAGCCGGCTCATGGAATCAAGGGTGAGGCAGATCTGGGCCACAGAGGCAGAGGCAGTGGGGGCCCCAGCACTACCTTCCACCTGCCAAGGGCCTACACTCCACCCCAAGCTGCTTCACCCACATTATCCTGGCAATATTCCCTGGAAGAAAGTGTGTTTTTAAAAAATATTTTATTGGGGAATCGGGGAAGGGGAACAGACAAGTTGCTGTGCTTTTGTTCTTCTTGGTATTGTGATCATTGTGCTCTTCCCGGCTGAGGCAGATCAGTTGCTGGCCACTGGACGGCCACTCACAGTGGCTCTTGGCAAGCTCACGTGGGCTGCCGGCCGCTCACGGTAGCTTATGGCAGCCCACTGCAGCCCCATTGCAGCCTATGCCATTGACAGCAACTCACAGCCCAGCTCCAGGTTGAGCTGTTGTTCACCATCTTAGCTGTAGAGGGCGCAGTGTCACTGGTCCTCATGTGGGATCCGAACCAGGGCCCTCAGAGCTGGCGTCCCAAGCCAACTCTTAACCAATGTGCCCCTCAGCCGGCCCTGGAAGAAAGTGTTTTAAAGTTGGCATTCCTCAAGTGGGGGGCTAGGGAGGCTTGGTGAGATTACATGTTTCATAGCTTTTAGGAAAAGAGAGGCAGCACATGAATTTCCTGTGTGGCAACTTCCAGTCTCTGTGTGTTTACTTCTGTGGACGTTTTGGCTACCACAGGAATTTTGATTCTTGTCTGCCTGAGTGGCAGGTCATTCCTCTTGGAGATGGTCAGGAAAATCAGCAACTAAGAGTTGAGTGATAGGGACAGAAGAGACGGAAGATGTCTAAGCCAGAGCAGATGTGTTGGCTGGGGGACCTTGGGGAGCAGTGGAGGCTGAGAGAAGTCATGTCCCGTTCACATGGGCCTGGAACTAGGGCACAGTAAATAGGGACCAGTGGTTTATCCTGGACACAGCCAGTCTGAGGAAATCCAGGCCTGGAAGGGAGTTAGATAAAGGAACTGCAGAAGCACTTCTGTCTCCACCATCCCACACTCTGCATCTCTTGAGATGAGAGTGGGACCCAGGAAGCAGGAATCAGTAGCTAGACCACCAGAAAAGAAGGCCTCTTAGTCTTATTCACGTCAGAGGAGGGCAAATTTATAATCTTCTCCTTGCAAATGGAGAGAGAAAGGAGATTTTGCTAAATTTTGAGCTGGGAAGAAATGGCAAATGGAAGTTAATGGTATAAAGGTCATTATCGCTGATTAAGACATACACAACATCACCAACATGCTCTGTATTTAATGATTTGTTTTAACGACTTTGAAAATCCTTTAATAATGGATTGTATAAGTTCATTTTTCCCCCATAAAATTTGAAGTTCAAGTACAAATGTTTCTAATTTGAAGTTTCAGAGGGTCTTAGTGATTAGGGAGGGACCACTGAATATATTCGTTGTCAAAAAAAGTTGTTTAGATAATCCATGTTTTAGGAATTCAGATGAAAATTGTAAGAGCCCCATGAATTTATTGAGTGTTTCCTTCTTGCTGTAGTCAGTGATGGGCATTTACATACACGATCTCATTTAATTTTCACTGTGATCACAGGAGTAGGCACTCTTGGCCCCATTGTACAGATGAGGCAACTGAGGCTTAGGGAGTTGAAATGATTTTGTCAGAGTCCCAGAACTCACACTGGTGGCTAAGCCAGAATTTGAAGCCAGAAAAATCTAACTTTACAGCATTTACCCTTACCAGCAAAGTACTTGGAGAGGGTGGGTTTTGAGGATGATGCCTCTTCATACCAGGCTGCCCCCTGAGGTGGGTGCCTCCTGCAGCTCTGCCCTGTCCTGAGGAGGGGCGGCCAGGGATTGGAGGAAGAGGGCAGCTATGGGCACTGACCCCTGGCTTTGGGGACAGGAACGGGAGATAGAGCTACGGCGGCAGGCCCTGGAGGAGGAGCGGAGGAGGAGGGAGCAGGTGGAACGGAGGCTGCAGAGTGAGAATGCTAGGAGGCAGCAGCTGGTGGAGAAGGAGGTCAAGATGCGGGAGAAACAGTTTTCTCAGGTAAGTGGGTGCTGGGGTACAGTGGGTGGTTGGCTTGAGGGTGAGGCTGTGGAGAGGTAGGGACATCCCAGGGTGTCCCTGCTGGGCTGTAAAACCTGTTGCTGTTGGCTTAGCAGAAGCAGAATTCTACCTGGGACTCGTTCAGCCCCAAGGAACATAGAACCACTGGGGCTTATTCAAGTCAGTGTGTGTATGTCTGTGTATGTCTGTATGTTGGGAGTGAGTGGGCTGTGGGAACATGGCAGACCACCTTGTTGACATCTGGGGTCAGAGAAGATGGTCCCGATAGGCCTCTCAGAGATGGGAGCTGAGAATCAAGCATTAGGGTGGCTCCCCTTGGCCTCTCTCAAGGGCCTCATCTCTGCTTCATGAGTCTGTGCTGCACTGACCTCCCACTTCTCTGATGACCTCCTGTACCTGGTGCTTCATGGCTGTCCTGGTCCTCACTCCACCAGACCTTTTGGCTCTAGGCCTCACCACTAGCAGGTGACCTCACTCTTGACTGTTGATTTGCATCCGCAGGAGAGAATTATACTAGTTTCTCCTTGGGGCAAGAATCCATCTTGTACAAGAACCAACTGGGCTTTTTCCTTACACAGAAGACTTGAACATAACAGTTAAAGGCAGGAGAAATTAGGTTGGGTAGGGAAATCTACCCATGTTTCTGGTCCCAGATCCTGGCCCCTGTGAGAGCCTGAGGGATTCAGACAGGCCGTCCCTTCTATTGTGTTTCCATAAGCCTCCCCAGAGTGGGGGTCCCTTGGGACCTACCCCCAGTAGTGACCAGTAATCACAGCTCCTGATTTCCTGTGATGCAACAACATAAATTCTAAGGTGTAGGCTGCCTGGATTGGGTTTGGGAATTCAGAAATAATCGGAAACTGAGTTTTACCTCTGTGCTTAGAATCTTGGTCAAATGCCTAATTTCCCTCTCCTGCCTCAGTCACTGGCCACTTTGGGACTCTAACTCCCTGTCCTGGGGCTGAGGCATTGCTGCAGGGGCCACCAGTGTCTGCTGTGGGTGGTGAGTGGAGTTCGTTCATCTTTAGGGTGTCTCCTGGAAGCTGTGCATTTTGTTTTTTCTTTAAATAATTTGTTATGTTTCATTTTGTTGCTGTTCTAATGTTCTTCCCAGAAACGAAGAGTAGAAAAAAATTCCAGTTGGCTGAGAATTCTAGTTAGTATCAGAATTTTTGAGGTGGAACAGGCCTTAGTGATTATCTGGTTCAAAGCCCTGATTTTGCATATAAGGAAACTGAGGCCCAGAAAGGGGATATGACCCAAATAAGGTCTCATGAGAAGTCAAGAGACCAGGTTTCTTATTGGGCTTTTCTTCTCAGAGCATGTTTATATTTGGCCTCCTGCTTTACTCCATTCAGCCCAGGAGAGAGATGAGAGGCAGGGACAAGACAAGGATGGCTGTGTCTTGGGCATAGGTGGAAAACTTGGGCATACAGTCACTGAGCAGTTTGCCCAAACCTGGGTAGAGTCAGCATAGGAACGCTAGGTCTCTGCTTTTGCCATAAGTCCTGTGAAATCAGAGTGACAGCTATGGGGGTAAGGAGGGAGTGATGGCAAGCTGTTGGGGGTTCAGGACTGAAGCCAAAGGGCCTGGACGTTGTAATGATGGAGAAGAGAGGGGAGTCTGTCAATCCTGCTCTCTGCTCCCAGGCACGACCTCTGACCCGTTACCTGCCAATCCGGAAGGAGGACTTTGACTTGAAGACGCACATCGAGTCGTCAGGCCATGGTGTTGATACCTGCCTGCATGTGGTGCTCAGCAGCAAGGTACAAGGCATGCATGGCCCTGGGGTGCTGAGGAGAGAACCCCATGGTCAGAGGTACCTACTGGGTCCTCAGAATAGTGGCCTCAGTTTCTCCCCTAACACCAGAGGTCTCTGTCCCAGGACCTAGTCTGCTGACCTGAAGAGATGTTGGGGACAGCTCCCTATGAATACAGGCACATGTGGTGGCACTCACATTGCTGCTCAGGGAAGAAGGGTTTAGGGGCTAGGCATTTGGGTCCTTCCTTACTCCTACTTCCCGTCAGGTCTGCCGTGGCTACTTGGTCAAGATGGGCGGCAAGATTAAATCATGGAAGAAGCGCTGGTTTGTCTTCGACCGGCTCAAGCGCACCCTTTCCTATTATGTGGGTGAGTTCCTACAAGACTGCCCCAGAACCAGCCCCCTGGACTGTATCACCCAGGACAGCTGGTCTTCTGGAAGGAGGCCAAGCTTCCAAATGGGGGGCCAGGTGCTTGGGCTGGGTTTTGTCCTCCCCTCCCTGAAAATATACAGAGTGTGCCTGGTTTACTTCCATTTATTTGTTAATCCATCCATTCATTTATTCAGCAATTACTGAGCATCTAATAAGCTCCAGACACTGTTCTAGCATGATGGGTATGCTGTAGGGGACATCCAGATGTTGTGGCTGCATGGAATTCTATGGATTTCCCCTTGGGAAAGAAAGTTCTCTCAAAGATTCCAAGACAAGCTATTGAGCAACGCCACGGAGCACTCAGCTGCCTTGGGGACAGGCCCACTGGCCCTTCTTGGTCCCTCAGCTCTCTCCACTCAGCCTCTAGCTTAGTTTCCCATTCCTGGAATTTCCTCTGGACTTGGAGCATGGGATGCTGTATTGTACCCTACTCAGGAGAGGCTAGGGTATGCTGCAGAAACAACCAGTCCTAAGATCCCAGGGGCTCAAAATCACCAAGTCTTCCTTCTTATTCCCGATACATGTCCGTGTACATTGTGGGTGGTGGGGGCTCTGCTCTGAATCATTGTTCTCTTTGCCTCAGAGCATGCCTTTCTGGAACATTGCTGGCTGTAGTAAACAGAAGCCTAACTGGGCCTTGCATTGATATTAAATACCCCAGCTGGGTTTGTTCGCAAGTCACTTGGTAGGACTGTTCAGCCAGTCACCCAGCCCCATCCAACCACAAAGCTGGGAAGAGCAGTCTTGCTTGGAGCCTGGAAGGGAAGGGCTACAGTGTTTGGTGCTGGAGATGCCCAGGCATGGAATGCCGTGCTTCCCCTCCAACCTGGTCAATAACCCAAGTGCCACCTCCTCCAAGAAGTCTTCTCTGACCACCTGGGCCCTGAGTATAGGGAGACAGAAGAGGCAGAGGCACAAGTGTCCCCCGTGTTGTCACCTAGGCTGAGAATGGACTTTGTCGAGAGAGGTCAAGAGGAACAGGCCGGGGGGAGAAGAGCTCCATTTTGGGCATGCTGAGGTTGAAGTGCCCCAGGGACATCTAGATTTAGGATAAAGGTCAGGATTAGAGGCAGAGTGAAAGTTGAAGCTGTTGGATTGATAATAGTAATAATAATAACAAAAATAGGAGATCAAGGGCCGGCCGAGTGGCTCAGTTGGTTAAGAGCTCGCTCAAGAGTTTGAGCTCTGAGCAACAGCGGTTCGAGTCCCGGCCCAAGCTGAGCAGCCGCTGAGCTGCCAACAGGGGGCAGGATGGCTCAGCTAAAAAAAAAAAAACAAAAAAATAGGAGATCATACTTGTTGAAAAGTTGTATGAACCAGATGCTGTGCTAAGCATTCTATATGCACCACCTCATTTAATCCTCATAACCTTGTGAGGGAAGCACTGTTTTTATACTCATTTTGCAGATGAGGAAAATAAGGCTCAGTGAGGCTAAGTAAATTGCCCAAGGTCTCACAGCTTTGTTAAGAGGAAGAGCTAACACAGAACCCGGGCAATTAGAAGAGGCAGGGAGAGGGCTGCACCCTGGGACGGGCCTACCCTTGCGGAGAAGGAGGAAGAGGGACCAGCAAAGGGAGAAGGGGTGGGAGGCAGGAAGCCACATGCCGGGTGCTGGCACTTGGCATACGTGACCTTCCTTAACATCTATGAAACAAAAGGAGACCGGGTTCAAATGGGCAGAAGCAGGAAAGGAAGCCAGACAAAGGAGCAGACATTTGCAAGCAGGGGGTGTCACCAGCTGAATGCTGCAGAAAGGCTAAGAGTAATGTGGACCCAAAGGCCATTTGATTCAGTGATTGGAGCTTGTCAAGAGAAAGGTTTCTGCTATGTACATAGGCGGGAGCCAGATTGCACAACAGCAAGGATAGGTGGGTGGTAAGGAAGCAGAGGCAGGAGAGTGTTACTATTTCCAGTGAAGGAAGAGAGGGGAGAGAACGGGGGCTGGAGGGATGACCGGGCCCAGCGGGGTGGAAGTGTTGGATGAAGATGGGTCTGTAGGGTCAGGGCCCTGGATCAGTGGGCCTTGCCTACTCCTGCCTTGAACCTGCCATTCTCCTTGCCTTTGCCTGGACCCTCCTCCCACCTATTTGATGGAACCCCTCCATTCTACAGGATCCAAATCAGATATTACCCCTGTAAAGCCTTTCCTGTCCCCACCTCACCAAGAATGGTTCCTGTCCTCTGCTATATAATTCCTGTGTTATACATGGTGTGTCTGCCATGTGACATTAGCCCAGCGGCATAATGATGTAATGACAGATGCCACATGTTATGTACCAGACACTGCTGCACACTTTCAATGTGTTCTCTCACTTGATAATCATAACAACCTATGACGCATAGCTGCTCTCTTGGACACTGAAGTCACAGTTGATAAATGCTTTCTTCCCGGCTGGATTGTAAACTCCTAAGAGAAGGGTCTCTGACTCTTCTGTGGATCCCAGACTCCATTTATTCGGCATTGATTGAGCACCTAGTGTGTGCTAGGCACATAGTTGTTGGTGTTGGAGGAAGTAGATCTATGAATGTAAAGGAGGTTCAGATTCTGCATAAGTTCCTATACAGAAAAACATGCATAGTGGGGACAGAGAGAGCACAGCAGTGCACCATTGTGGTGACATTTGCAAGGGATCTTGAAGATTACTTAGGAGTTTGCCAAGGCAGTGAGCCCATTCCAATGTATGCAGAGCACCTGTTAAGGGAACATGAAAAGCTCAGCCTGGCCAGATAGAACTTGGTGTTGGTGCAGGAGAGGAGTGTGAGACAAGGCCAGAGGGACATGCTGGCACTGGCTGGTAAATAGCCTTGGCTGGGCCAAGGAGGCAGCAGGTTCCCAGTGAGGGAGTCAGCAGGGAAGCTTGTGAGCTGAGGCAGCAGGATTGGATTTGCTTTAGGAAGCTCACCCTTTTGGCATTAGGGAAGACGAGGTGAAGGAGCAGAGGGTAGGGCCGGGCACGGTAGGAGGCTATAGCAATGATCCAGGAGCCCATGACTCAGACCTGAAAGGACATGAGGGTGGGGGAGGGTGCGTACAGCCAGCCATCGCCTCCTGAGTTTAGTGATTGTGTGACCTTCCTTTCATGTCTCAGGCTCGCTGTCCAGTACGTCAGTTGTAGTGCTGAGCGGTGTTTGCCACGAGACGAGATGGCCCAGGCCCTGTGCTTTCCCCTGACTGCCCCTGTCCCTTTCACCGGAAACGTCACCTCTGCTCTGTTAGGTTGCCCACCTCCTTTCTGCCACCCTTGCTTCCTCATACTAAATACTTCTTTCTTGCAAAAAATTTTTTATTGTGGTTAAATATATGTAACACAAAATTTGCCATTTCAACCATTTTAAGAGCACAATTCAATTTAATTTACATTACATTTGCAATATTGTACAATTATCATCATCATCTATTCCAAAACATTTTTTTAAAGATTTTTTATTGGGAAATTGGGGGAGGGGAACAGTGTTGGGGAATTGGGGAAGGGGACCAGCCAAGTTGTTGTTCTTCAGTCTTCGTTGTGTAGGGTGCCAGTCGCCACCTGGCTTCCCGTCGGCAGCTTGTGGCCTCTAAGCTCAAGGTGCTGTGTTCAATCTTAGTTGTAGGTGGGCATAGCAACCATCCCATGTGGGAGTCGAACAGCAGCCTTGTTGTTAANGAACAGACAAGTTGCTGTCCTTTTGTTCTTCAGTCTAGTTGTGGAGGACGTCGCTTCACTGGCCCATGTTGGTATTATCGTTGCGCTCTTCCTGGCTGAGGCAGTCGCTCTCCGATCATTGGACGGCCGCTCACAGCGGCTCACACTGGCTGCCAGCCACTCAGGGTAGCTTACGGCAGCCACTGTAGCCCCACTGCAGAGCTGGCGTCCCAAGCCAACTCTTAAACAACGTGCCACTCGGCCGGCCCTCCATTTTTTAATATTAGAGTTGAATGGGTAAATACATTCATATAGTTCAAAAATCAAAACACAAAAAGGTTTAAATTGAGAATTATGCCCCCACTCACTATAGGTAATCACTTTTATTAATCTCTTGTGTATCCTTCTAGAGTTTCTTTAGGGGAATATAAACAAATGCAAACATGTATTCTTACCCGTTTTCTTACACAACAGGTAGCATGTAATATATTCCTTTTTTCCCAGCTAATGTTATCTAAGAGATCTTTCTATATCAAATATAGCTATATCTAGATATTTATATCTGGATATATTTTATAGATTTATTTTTGAATCTACATATCAGATATTTCTACATCATCTGTAGAACAGTTGTCTAGTATTCCATCATGTGGCTCACCAATTTATCAGCCAATCTCCACTTGATGGATACTTGGGTTGTTTCCAATCTTTTTTTACTACAAATACTGCTGCAGTAAATGATCTTGTAGACTTGTTATTTTTGTACATAAGTAAGATAAATTTTCCTAAGTGTAATCATTGGCTCAAAGGGCCAACATCTTTGTAATTTTGGTAGATATGGACAAATCCATAAAGGCTTATCAGTTTATACTCCCACCTGCCACTTATTAGATTGCCTATTTCTCCACAGACTTGCCTAAAGTGTGCTGCATATTTTTTGTATACTTTTGCCATTTTGATAGGTGAGAAATGGTATCTCAGGGGAGTTCTAATTTGCATTCTCTAATTCTAAGTGACCTGAGCATTGAACATATCTTCAGGGCTCCATGGTGGGCTCTGTTTTGGAATCCTGGAAATCACTCCATTTCCCAGACGGAGAAGCTCCGTGTCAACACAGCATGATCTGAAGTATGACAGGCCTCCTCAGCCTGGCCCTTATTTTCTTTGCAGACAAGCATGAGACGAAATTGAAGGGGGTCATCTATTTCCAGGCCATCGAGGAGGTATACTATGACCACCTGCGCAGTGCAGCCAAGGTGAGGAGGGCAGAAGGGACAGCCACGGGGAATGGGTGGGCTCAGGGAGCAAAGGCCTCCAGGCTGCCCTTTTCAGAGGCTCAGACCCATTCCTTGTTCTCTTCGTAAACTTTCTCTTCCTCTCTCCTTCCCTTCCCAGAAGAGGTTTTTCAGCTTCACTATGGTGACTGAGGTACCCCTCCCCATGTACAGTAACCAGAACTACCACATATTAACGTCTCCATACCCTACTCCACCCTGACCCTTTACTCTCCCCTAAATCCCCCTCTATTCCCCAGACCTGAAGGAGGAGCTGAAGGTGGGTTGCAGAGAGCAGGAAGCCCCTGTGGACTTCAATTTGGCTTGCTTGCCTCCCTCTTCTGAGATGACAGCAGGATGTCTCCCAATGGGGGTGGGCAATGCAGAAGTTATGGTTAAAGGGGGAGGAGGAGTCCCTTGGAAACTGGGTTTGGTAGAGAGGATTGAAAAACAGGAGGTGTTTGAGGTTGGTCATCTGTCTCATTGCAGTGCACGTCAGCCTCCCTCTGCCAAGCCTCAGCCCACCCCACCCTGATCTCTGCTCCTCTGGGGTCCTTGGGTTCAGCGTATCGCTTGTAGCCTTTTCCATCTGCCTCTCTTCTGCAGAAAGGAGAACTCTGGCCCTCACTGGGAATAGCCCTTTGTGTCTGAGTCTTTTGATATTCACTTTTGTGCCTGGGGGTGCCAAGGAACAGTGCTTCCACATGGCAGGATACGACCCTGCCAGGGTCCAAGGACTGCCCCTGTGTGAGGAGGGGAATAGCTCAGCCTGGGGCCCACTTGACTTGTGGGGACTAGGCTTTGGGCCTATTTAGACTCAGACCTGAGCTCCAGGTCGTCCTGGAGACGGAGAAGAAAGGGCAGAGGCAGGTTAGGAGAATGCTTTTGGGCGCCAGGAGTGAACCTGGTCTTAGACTCTCCTCTCTCACTCCACAGAGCCCGAACCCAGCCCTTACCTTCTGTGTGAAGACCCATGACCGGTTGTACTATATGGTGGCGCCCTCTGCAGAGGCCATGCGCATCTGGATGGATGTCATTGTCACAGGGGCTGAGGGCTACACTCAGTTCATGAATTGACTGGGGTGGGCCAACCCCAGGACCCATGCCTGACCACCTACTGCTCTGCTTGCCCCTCAAGACAGAGTCACACCCTGGGCTCCAGACCTCCCTGGGGCGCTCCCAGAGGCCCTGAGAGGGCGGAGCATGCCTGGGGCTTTTGTAGCGTTGTGGAAGGAACTCATCCTGGGAGATTCTGAGCTGGGCCCCTCATGCACCAGCCAGGAGATCAAAGGTAGGGAGGGAGCTTCATTGCCTCCTGGGAGACTAGAACTTGCAAAACCCTTCAGGGTCCTGCCCTCCCCAGCCAGGGTCCTGCCCTCCCCAGCCCGTGTTCTCTTTTGTAAAGGATAAATTACGGTACCAGAATCTGCCAAAGATCCCCTCTTGCCTCAGCCCCCTTTGCAGGAGCCTTGGGGGCTAAGCAGAGCCACATCCAGAGTGGGGTAACAGCTCAGGCAGTGTACTTCTCAAACCCTGCTCTACCCCGTTGTTCTCCTTTGTTTCTATATTTTATTACTCTGCTCAAGGGCCAGAGACCTCAAGTGTCATCCTTGAGGTCGCAGTCCCATCCTCTTTTTGCAGACATATCACCATGGTTACGATATTAACTGCTTCATTGCCATGGTTACATACTAATTGCCATGGCTCCATGGCTCAGCCCACTGCTTAAGATGTGGGCCCTCTGAGGGTACGTGCCATCATCTCTCCAGCCCAGGCCCTTGGGCAACTCAGGCTGGGGGAAGGTACTGAACAGCTCCCTGCCCCCAGCCTGTCTCCAGGCCCTGATGCACAGCCTGCCACTCCCTCCTCCTGCCCTGGGCCTGCCCTGTCCCTTCCACTTGTGCCTTCCTTAGAGCCAGAAGGGATGAAGCTGGAGGATTTAGATCCAGAGGAAGAGTGATGCAGATGGGAGACAAAGCTAGAAGGACCATCCTAGGGGTTCTGTATAGGGATGAGTTTCTGACAAGGAGAGAGGGCTGCTCCTTCAGGAAACCTGAGCAGGAAAGGAAGCAGCAGAGAGGGAGGACCCTTGAGGTACCATTACCCTCCCTTCAGCCTCAGAAGGGTAATGAAATTGGAGAGCAGAGGACCAGGCCTCCAGCTGTCTGGCCTCAGCCCTTCATGCCTTAACACTAAGCCCACCTCCCTGTCCCCCTTCCCAGCTCTGGGCCATGGTTGCTGGACCCAGGCAGGGTAATTTCAGTATTTGTAAGCATCTCAGCAGAACAATAAAGCATTTGGAGTATGTGTTTGAAAGACCAAGTTGTGTGGGACACTGGGCTGGGGTCCGTGGGGTATCAGGGCTGGTAGGTCCTCCCCACAGAGCAGGATTTCCACCTTATTAAATGTTCCAGGAGGGACCCAGGGCCCAACCCAGGACCTCCAGGTCCCTACTCTGCCCCCACTCCACGATGACCAAGGATTGGCTGGGGGCATAGGAGGGCATGGGGTCTCCTGGGATGGAGGGTGAAGAGACAGAAGAAGGTAGAGACTCATGCACAAGTTTAATGAGGCTGCAGCTGGAGCCAGAGGAGGAACTGGAGCACTGAGGCCCGTCACTGTGGCAGGAGGCTGAACAGGAAGCTAAGCAACAGGGCAGCTGCGAGGCAGTGGGGCTCCAGGAAAGCTGTCTGGGTCCCTGAGCTCAGCCGGTCACCGTAGAGGTCCAGGAGCACCAGGGCTACTCCATTGGTCCAACCAAACCCCTCCTGGAGAGAGGCATGGCCAGTGAAGCCAGACCTTAGGGGAAGGTCCCCAGGTCCTTTAAGGGGGTTGTGGGATCTCTACCCAGAGGCTCTGGCCCTGCCTAGCCCCAGGAGTACCAAGGAGCGCCAGTCGGGCTCCTCCCTGTGGGCCTACATACATAGGAGGAAACAGCCTAGAGAGGGGAGGTCATGGTCAGTTGGGACAGCAGAGGCCCATAGTTCCCTGTAGGTTGTTGGCTCACTCACCTGAACTTCATACTCCCCTCCACCACCCGGCTGTCCACCGTTGCTGATATCATACTGGGAACAAGAGGTCAAGCTCTAAGGTCAGTACTACCCCCAGCCCACGCAGGCCAGCCCTCCAGGACAGGGGTTCACAAACTTTTGAGATGGAAGAGCCGCAAGGGATCAGCAAACTGCGGTCTCGTGAGCCATAGGCTCTGAAGTAAAATTGAAAATGAAAATAAAACTATGATAGTTTTATTTATAAAATTTTTAAAGGATATTATTCACATAATGGTGATTATGTAAAAATATATTTATGGCTCTCGAATAATTTTTAAGTTGTTGTGAGGGACAGAATTGGCTCTTCCAAGGGTCGGCAAACTTTTGAGATAAATGTACCCCAAGAGTCGCGGTTTGCAAACCCCTGCTCTAGAGGAAGCAAGAAATAGGAGCCCGTTTGGGAGAAGCTGCTCTGGCCTGTGGCTCTTACCCCTGCAGTGCCCAAGAATAGCCACTGGGTGCCGCCACTGTCCCTGGGCCTGAGCTTTGCAAAGCCTGACAGGTCCCCCCATGTCACCGCCATGGGGAGGAAGACTGGTGGGACAGGGCTCAGGGCCAGCTCACCTTCTCATACATGGCTGATTTTTGGGAGTAGACATCAAAGTTGGTTCGGATCCAATTCTGCGCCAGCTGGAAAGCCACTTCCTGGGTCCTGGGTGAAGGAGACTTGGCCAGACCTAGACCCCATCCCGAAGCAGGACCCTGAATCTCCAGGGCCTCCATCTCAGGGGGAGCAGAGGCCCGAGTCTAACTCTCCTCAAGGAGGGAAAGAGGGCCCTGAGCCCTCCCTGGAGCCACAGGCCAATCTGCTCTAATCCAGGGCCCAGGTTTGGAGGGAGAGGAGGGCTGAGTCCCCTGACAGGTGGGGGTGGACGTAAATGTTTGCTGAGTGGGAAGCCGAGAGAGCAGGAGAGTCAGAGGGGCCCCCACATCCTTTGTTCACACCTCCCCAGTACCCGGTAGAGGGCGGCCGACCCTCTACCCCCACAGGATAAGGCCGTGGGCTATGCCCTATCCCTGCCTCCTACCTCTGATGACCAAGTCCTGCAGGGGGGCCCAGCCATTGGGGAAGTCCCACTGCTGGCCTGTCTTCCGGAGAGAGGTTGGGATCCCATGCTGGTAGGTCAGGATCTTGCTGTCCTGGAAGGTTCCAGACATTACTACGACTGTGGGTGGGGGCTGGGCGGGCAGCCAGGAGGCTGGGCCCTCCTAAAGCCAGATGTCCCTTTTCTGGCCTTCTCTTCTTGGCTCACAGCTGCCCCCTGTGGTGGCTGCATCGGGGCTCAGGCTAAGACGGAGGGTTGGCAGCAGGAGGGAGAGGCTGTCACTTGCCAGAAGTCACTGCTCAAGAGTCAGGGAGAGAACAGGTGGTCCTGTGCCCAGTGTACCAGCCCGCCTGCTGCCCGCCTCACCTCCAGGTATTTCAGAGCCTTGTCCACGACACCTGGGTCAGAGAAGCAGCCGGCCCAGAGAGGAGCGAGGTTGGATGGGTAAAACTCTTGGTTCTGCTTTCCGTTTTCAAGGTCATAGTCAAACCAGGCACCTTTCTCCTCATCCCATAGGATGGCCTTCAGGGCGGCCAAGCGCTGTTCCCGCAAGTTTCTGTACTTCATGGCTTGAGAGGCATTCCCTGGGGTGACACTGCCTTTAGAGCCCTGGGAACTTGGAGAGGTCTACCTTGGTCTCTTCTGGTTGTCCTCCCCAAGGGCTAAGAAGTCCTGAGCACCAAGGGGACATGCCCACCACTGAGAGCCCACTACATTTTAGGCCTCTAGGACCTGGCGTTCCTTGAGCAATGGCCCTGTATGGCTGGCTCTCAGGACCTGCACTGTCCTGTTCTCTGGGTCCGTCCTCTGGAAGGCACTGGCTGGATTGGATCCCCTACCCCTGAGGGAGTCAAAGGACAGCTGTCTGGGGAGAGGGGACGGAGGGACTTTGAATGTGTGGACTAGGGTGTCCTCTCATAGGCCCTAGAAGGCCTTTCCAGTAAGAAGAGGGAAGTGAAAATACAAGTGGGCTTCATTTGTCTTCCTGCCCTGGCTACACTAGGGGTGAGGTATTGAGCAGGTTAGGAGGGTGGCGGCCCTTCACCCAAGGTCCTACTTCCATCTCTATTGTCAAGGCTGAGGCAGGGACCTAAGCTGGACAGGCACCCGCCTTTCTCCCCTCCTGCTGGCCTGCTCACCCAGGCTGAGGTAGAAGTTGCTCATCAGCTCCTCTGCCCGGCACAGGAAGGCATTGAGGTCAACAGGCACGAATTTGCTGGTTCGGATGCTGCTCAGCAAGTCGGGGTTTGGGCCTCCAACGAGCCAGCGGGAAGAAAAATCCCAACCAGACTCGGCCCCAGCCTTGAGCTCAGCCCACAGAGTCTCCTGGTCCCCTGTGAGGGCAAAGCAGCAGCAGACCAGGGCCTGACACAGCTGCAGGCACACAGCCCCATCTCGACCCCCTCCCCCCTGTTGCTGCTTACCTTCAGGCAATGTGTCTGCCAGCTCTGCGTCTTTGCTGTAAGACTCTGGCCTGGCAAGAGGAGAGTGGATAGCCTGGCACTAGGAGGCTCTGAGCTCTCTGTACCCAAGTTGGAGGTTGAGCCAAGTTGACTCAGCTGCTCTTGGGGCCGACAGCCCTGGGTTCTCCAGTGCTGTCAGTCTCGCCATCAGAGAGGTGGGGCTAAGTCACTTGCCCTCCTGCCCAGGGGCCTGGTGACACTCAAATGCTGGCCAGGAGGTTCCTTACCTGGGTCCCCCATAAGGGACATAATAGCGATTCAGGACGTAGCTCTTTTCCCACAAGCTCACAGAGATGTTCCTAGTCTCAGTCCAGAAGTCCAATTCCAAGGCTAGGGTCCCAATATTGTCCCTGGGGTGGAGCCAGGCACCACCTCAGCTCAGGCACACCTCCCCAGTCCCACCCCGGGAGGTCTCAGATGTGGGGGGCCTGTAGGGAAGCACAGGGAGGGGGTCCCCACCGTAGGAAGGCGGTATCATTGGTGTGCGTCACGTAGCGGTCCATCATGAGGGTCAGGAGTGGGGGCTGGCTGCGTTGCAGGTAGTACACGCGGGCCCCGTTGGGAACATGTCCATAGCTGCCAAGAAGGAAGCCTGCTGACATGTCCCTGCCCCGCCACCAGCGCCAAGGCTGATCCAGCTCTGAGCCCATGGCACCTGCTTCCCCTCCACCCCGGCCTCGAGGTGCCCGGCCCCCTCTTACGTTTGCACCAGGTCCAGGAAGTTCTGCAGCATGCCCTTCACCGTCTCAGGCATCTCAGAGAGGAGCAGACCCTCCATCGCCCAGTAGGAGTCCCTGGGAAAAGGGACAGCTCAGGCATCCCCCCACCACTCTCTGCCCTGCACACCCAGGTCACATCAGGGTGCCCCATCCTGCTCAGGCCACCCACTGGCCCTGGGCTCCCCACCACTCCCATCCCTGCAGCCCCTGGCCGCTTACCAGTAGTAGAACTCGAGAAAGCGCCCGCCGGGCACAATGAAGGGGTGTTGTGAGTAGATCAGAGAGAACCGCTCAGGGTAGTGGAGGACCTCTGGCTTCACCTAGTCAGAAGAGAGGGCACAGGGAGCCTAGACCCCCCACTTTCCCACAGAGCGGAGGATGGAGGGGGCTGGGGCGGTTGAGGCCCTGGCAGCTGCAGGCTTTGGAGCCAGTCAGCCTGGGCTTGGGTCTTGCTCTGCTACTGTCCGGCTCTGTGAGTTTGTTCAAAACCTGGGCCTCTGGGAACCTGGTCTGCTCACCCCCACAGGTGAGCGCGATGGTGTGTGGGAGCCCTGACCACTCAGCCCGGCACCAGCAGGTGCTCACAAAGCGGCCGCCACTACTAAGACCCAAGTAGGGGACCATTTTTTCCGGCTTCCCTTGCCTTCCGAATCTCTGCTGCCACCACCAAGCCAGGCCCAGAGACACAGGGCCCCCCATTCTCTGGCCTAGGACCCTTTCCCCAGTGAGTCGGATGTGAATGAATGTGGCCGAGGGAGAGCAAGGTAGGACCAGAGGGGGGTTTGCTGTGTGTCCGTGTCAGGTATTTGCTCTGTTCCTTTCCTGCTAGTTCTGTATGAGTGAGTGTGGTTTTAGTGGGAGAGAGGCTTTGAGGGGAGCAATGGAATGGGGCTTGGGTTTGTTGGTGCAGGGGCTGGCGGGAAGCAGCCCACACTAGCCAAGGAGCCCAGAACACGACTCTGCCTGTGGGTGCCAGGGCCTGGGGGGCCCGGCGGGAGGACAGGTGCTGTGCAAGCTTGGGCAAACCGCTGCCCTCTCTG